TATATATATATATATATATATATATGTGTGTGTGTGTGTGTGTGTGTGTAGTGCTAGATTAACCCATTTCTTAATAAACTTTTTATGACACAACCATCTTAAAACATTTTGCGTTACACGTTCATTGTTAATATGCTTATAAGAAAATAAAAATTGTTGCTTGAATGGCACATTGATTATGATATAAAAATGTTCTACAGTTTTATGTTACATTAAAACGTCATTTTCTTACTTTATAAGATTTTTCTCATCTTTAACAGTATGTAACAGTTTTGTGGGTGGAAAATGTCACTATAATTATTAAAGTAAAAATATCTTAACAATTTTTTTTATCTTTCTCAAAAAATCCTATACTATTTTATTGGTATAATCCATTGAAGATTTCATGTAAAATATATTTCTTAACTTTTTTTCTTCACAGAAACAGTTTCTATCGAAAAGTGGTGGTAATAATGGCAAGGATAACATACATAGATGTTTAAAAAAAATACTAACAAATGAGTGCGCCATGAAATGTTCGTGGAAAGGATTGCGGAATAATTTTAGAATGTCCAATTTATATTTCATAAGAATTATGAAAGGTGGGTTATGGATGTAGGTGTGCTAAAGATGCCCGATTCTGAATCGATTCTTTCTCCAAAAATAGGCTTATTCGTGTTGTTTGCACTCTTCGCACTTTTCGTATTTAAAAACTAGACAGAAGTATATTGGAATGTTTAGAAGAAGCAAAAGCGAGACAATCAACTCGATTGTTTCTTCCAAGCGTCTGATTACCCTTATAGAAATATCATACTAAGAATCATTGATAATTACTTATTATCCAGTATTTTTAATACTGAAAATAAGTAATTATCAATGATTCTTAGTATGATATTTCTATAAGGGTAGGCGTCTATCTCTTTTTAAAAGCGAAAAGTATGAAACATGCAAGCAGCACAAACAACCCTTTTTTCATACATTTGTTAGGGAAAGAATCGATTAAGAATCGGGCATCTCTAATGTGTGCCTGTATATGGTTTGTGTATTGTTGAACTTGCCAAATTTCTTATTACAACACTTTCATCAGTTGTATATGATTTTTTTTTTCAGGAAAGATAATATTACGCTATAGTATTTTTACAGAATGTGAATTTGATAGTGCAATAGCGGAATGGTTACGCTTTGCAAGTCAAAGAAACAAGAGAGAAAATCAAGCCAAAGATGATTAAAATATAATGCACAATTCGTTAAATTAAGATCACATTATGAGCTGTGA